CAATCCTATTTAAATATGATCTTGCATTTGGAAAATTACCATCATGGTTGATCATATTTCCCCCTTCTCTCAAGCGAGACAGGAAATGGCTGTTTATTATAGGATAAATCTCTGGCAAACAGCTGCTTGTTGTTTAACGAAGCAATTCAGACATGATGATAATACAGTATAAACAGAAATTGGGACATATTCTAAACTTTTGAAATATTACGAGGCTGAAATGTTATAAATGAGACCCCGCGTGATCCAATTGTCATAGATTTAACCATGGGGGGGGTGTAACCCAGTAACAATAACAATAAATGTTCCCCATTTCTATTTCCATCAATCCACTATAGCAGGGGTGTCAATCTCAAGGCCTGGGGGCCGGATGTGGCCCTCAGGGTGCTTAGATCTAGCCCACGGGGCTGCCCTGGAAACAGCAAAGGACTGGCCCGCAGTGCCTCTACCAGTGAAAATGGAGCTTGGGAGGACTGGGTGCGGCCTTCCTGAGCTCCGTTTTCACTGCCAGAGGGTTGCAGGAGGCAGCCGAAAATGGAGCTTGGGAGCCTATTTTCCCTGGCAGAGAGCTCAGGCCACCACAGGCGCCCCCATGAATAATGTCGAGCTGGCCATGCCCATCCTGGCCATGCCTACCCCGCCCTCCAAGGTCAAACACAACCCTGATGCGGCCTTCAGTGAAATCGAGTTTGATGCCCCTGCACTATAGGGTTGACTCCAATATAAAAGGGAAGTTTCAATCTGTCTCACATGCAAAAAGGCTTCCTTTAGGCTTTGAGAAGGATCGGTATCTGATGAGTTAATCCAAAATGGTGAAAGGGCAAAGCTGCTACTCAGAATGAACTAGATAAAGGAAAGGGGCAACTGAGCAGCAGCCTGAAGGGGAAGCAAGAGTGAGGGGCAATACAACATGCAGGTGCCAGAGTTGCCAGGAGTGATCTACGACAGATTCTTCACAGTGAAACTAGCTGGGAATCTTTATCATAAAATACTATCTCCTGCAAAATGTAATCCTGGATAATATTTATTGCCCCAATCTATCACTATCATAAATCAACTATTGTGCTTTTTCAGTAATAATTATAAATTTGTTACAAGTGAAGCCACTTTGAAAATGAATCAAGGTTAAATTGTGCAATACACATTTACCAGAAGACCTTGAATTCATTCTTCATTCCTCTGCAGAATTCCAAATCTTTCAGCCACACTAGAGAAGAGATATAAATACTGCATTATTAGTTATGTCTGAAATTTTTTTCACCAGCCATTCTCTTGGCAGTTTACAAACTACAGTTCACATAACATACTAAGCCCCAATTAAACAAATCACATTATGCCTAAGTGTACCCGCCCTAGAGAAGGGCATGATTACAACTGTAAGTCACTGAATTCTCTTTGTACTTGGTTCAAACAGCATCTGAATTCAGCTGCTATTTGTGAACCATGATGTATAGTTTAGGGCGAAGAATTAAAATATTCCCTTAAATTAAACAAAAACAATTGCTACCAACCTGCCTTCCATTGAGGACCTGTATACTGCACGAGTCAAAAAGAGGGCTGTGAAAATATTTACAGACCCCTCACATCCTGGACATAAACTGTTTCAACTCCTACTCTCAAAGTGACGCTATAGAGCACTGCACACCAGAACAACTAGACACAAGAACAGTTTTTCCCTGAATGCCATCACTCTGCTAAACAATAATTCCCTCAACACTGTCAAACTATTTACTAAGTCTGCACTACTATTAATCTTCTCATCGTTCCCATCACCCATCTCCTCCCACTTATGATTGCATGACTGTAACCTTGTTGCTGGTATCTTTACGATTTATATTGATATTGTTTCCTGATTGCTTATTTGTAACCTATGACTATCATTAAGTGTTGTACCTTATGATTCTTGATGAACGTATCTTTTATTTTATGTACACTGAGACCATAGGCACCAAGACAAATTCCTTGTGTGTCCAATCACACTTGGCCAATAAAAAATTCTATTCTATTCCAAAATTAATCCTCTTTCACTGAATAAAATATAAAAGTACTATGGTAGCTTGAGCAGACTTAAAAACTGTTTTTACCTTCATTTTTTTTTCACCTGATCATGATGTTTGATGCATCCACTTGCTCTCTCCACTCTCCTGGGAACAGAGAATCATCTAAAATGGGAGTTTGTTCTTCCAGGTTTAAACTTTGCAATTAGAAACTCAACAACTGAAACTTCTGCATCATATAGGGAGCCTATGCACCTAGAAGAGAACCAATGAAAAATTGCTATATATGTATTATATCATATCACAATGTGCTTACACTTAATCATAGCACAATTATGTTTATCAAGATTCTTAATCATTCTGGTCAGGGTTGTCCCAAAGATGCTTTCCCAGAATGCAGCTGGGCTTTCTTGAGATTTTTCCTTGAAAATGTTTTGCTTCTCATCCAGGAAGTTTCTTCAGTTCCGTTCATAGCACAATTATGCCCTTTCAACATGATTTTGCCTTTTTCCCATCTCTTGAGTGAGACTGCTTTAAATCATCCTTAACTGTACCAGTGTTAAAGAGGCATTTTTCCATAATCCAAGGACAATCTCAAGACACATAAATATGCTAGGCCATTAAAGGAAGTTAAGTGACCTGCAATGATTGGGAAAAGAAGCAACAAAGAAAGGAGGGGAATTAGACATGTATTTAAATTCTGTGTTGGTGAAAGGCCCTGTGTCTCAGGTGCAAACACAGACAATTAGACTAATTATGTGATTTGTTTAGATAAGCCTTCACTTACCTTTTCATTCTGTCAGATGTGCCAGTTGAAGATAGGATAAGTTGTTCTTCCTTTTCTCTCCCCTTTTACATATTTAATATTCTATATGGTAGTTTTTGATGTATTTTTTAACTTGAGACATTTCTTTTAAGCAGTATTTCTATGCCTTGTATGGTGTTCTTTATGTAGAAGCCTGATTCTGCTTAATTGCTAAGGAGTCTGACCCCCCCTATATCTGCTTTAGAGAGAATAATTGTTTTGGGTGGCATAATAATGCCTTCTCAATCCAACAAACAGCCTCGTATACTCAAATAACAGCTTTCAGAGCAGAGGCTATAAGGGTGTCTGCTGTTATAACAAGCAATGGCAAACAAAGATGCCACTCAAAGTGTGAATAATAACTTAAATGTTTATAATGTGGATTGTTGCATACAGATGCAAGTTTTTTGCAAGGTGGGGCAGAAAAGTTATTAACTGTCCAAAGATCCTGTTAGCTTGCTAATTAAAACTATTTAAGCCAAGAGTTATCAGGCATAGATAGTCCTCAACCTATGACCACAATTGAGCTCAATATTTCTGTTGCTAAACAAGATAGTTGTTCAGTGAGTTTTTCCCATTTTATCTCCTTTCTTGCCACAGTTGTTAAGTGAATCACCCACAGTTTTTTTAAGTTAGTAACACAGTTGTTAAGTGAATCTGGCTTTGCTTTGTCAGAAGGTTGCAAAGGGTGATCACATGACCCTGGGAGACTGCAACCGTCATAAATACATGCCAGTTGCCAATTTTCATCACAGGGATGTTGCAACAGTTAAGGGTGGACAATGGTCACTTTTTCAGTGCTGTTTTACCTTTGAATGGTCACTAAATGAATGGTTATAAGCTGAGGACTACCTTTATAACTTTGAATATTAATATTTTCTGACTAATCTTCAGTTAAATATAATATGAAAAAATATTCAAATATTCCATTATAGTAGTATATATGTAAGCAAAGTTGAAGAGCTAGAGCTAAAAATAAATAAGCAGGCTATCCCTGGTTACAAACATGGTATGTTAACATTTTTTTAAGAAGTTCTGACATGCATTGCTACCCCTCGGGAGCAGGGATAGAAGTTACAGATGCGATTCAAGTTAAAGACATTTAAACAACTTTCTGAAATAAAAAAATGATTAGTTTCCAAAGCCTTGTCTTATAGTTTGCTACTCTACTCTCAGTATAGTCTACGCACCATAATTTTTATAATGAACCAACATTGTTTGAAATGCTTCTATGCTAAAACTAAGTTCACACATTGTACTATCCTATAAACATGCTTTACAAACCACAGTCAGTTGATTATATACATTATGCTAAACCAAATAAACCACATTATGATTTCAAACAATTTGTGAAACAAATGTTAAGTTTCTTTGGTTAGACAAAAGTTGAGGTGTTTATTGGCAATGTACAGAAAATTAAAACAAAGTGGCTATGAACCAGGGGTGAAATCCAGCAGGTTCTGACAGGTTCTGGAGAACCGGTAGCGGACATTTTGAGCAGTTCAGAGAACTGGCAGCGGAAATTTTGAGCAGTTCAGAGAACTGGCAGCGGAAATTTTGAGTAGTTTGGAGAACTGGCAGCGGAAATTTTGAGTAGTTTGGAGAACTGGCAAATACCACCTCTGGCTGGCCCCAGTGGGGTGGGAATGGAGATTTTGAAGTATCCTTCCCCTGGAGTGGGGTGGAAATGGAGAATTTGCAGTATCCTTCCCATGGAGTGGGGAGGGAATGGAGAATTTGCAGTATCCTTCCCCTGCCACGCGCACCAAGACCCCATCAAGACACACCCCACCCACCAAGACATGCCCACCGAAGCGGTAGTAAAAGAAATTGGATTTCACCACTGCTATGAACCAAGAGTAAACTCAGTTTCTGTTTTCTTTCTGGAGCTTAGTTTTGTCATGGATTTAGTTTGAAGAAGGAGTACAACACTGAAAAGAACCATGTTTATTGCAGGGATCCTTGGGCACTTGTTTTACAAGACAGAACTCAAAATAAGGGGAAAGCAAAGGTTATTATTGAAGGTCAAGAGCTACAAGATGGGAAATCCTAGGGATCTGGTTTGCTGGCCAGTTTGGGGAAGTGGGCAGGTCCTTGCCCCTGTACCTGAAGTGAGTTCTATTGTTAGACATAATGGATCTTCCAGGAGGACAGCAAAGCTGAGGAATATAGTTGTTAAGGAGATGGAATGTTGAAGTTATCAACTGATAAGAAGATAGGAGGTTGGGGTTTCTCTAAGTTGCAGCTCCCTTGTTAGGGCTGCCCTTGAGCTACGCTGTGAGCTGGTGAGGAGGCTTCTATTCTTTGGTTTAGATGGGTTTATAGGGAGACTTTGTCTCAGGTGAGGGGAGGTCAATTTGGGATTAAGCAAAGAGATTAACTGGGTTCAACCCTGGTTGTATCTAAACAAATCTTTAAAATCCTTACAGTATAAACAACAGAACAGCTAACAAATGAATCTTCTGTTCTCTTAAATGCTTTATGGTGACACAGCCTTTCAGGTTTCAGCCTTTCAAGTACGGTTCAATTCTTAGGTCCTAAAACCCACAGGGAAATCTACACCTGACATCTGTCTCTACAGAAGTGGAGGGGGGGGAGGAAGTAGCCAAAAAGCCTGGACTTCTTTACCCTGGCATGGATAAATCAGGACAGCAAATTCAGCAACCCACCTCACAGGGCCATTGCTATGGGGAAAATAGGAGGAGGAATGTGTGTTGGATATGTTCACCGCTTTGAGTTATTTATAAAAATAATAAAGGTGGGATGTAAATAGATAAATAAATTCTAAAAGATCTAGACTCAATAAGGAAAAGACGACCACCTTTTCAGAATAGGGATGACAATGTCATATTGTCATCGGGAGCCAGCTGCACTGGCGCCCAGTGGTCTTCCAGGTGCGCTTCAAGGTATTGGTTCTCATCTTTAAAGCGCTCCATGGCTTAGGGCCCGGGTATTTACGAGACCACCTTCTGCCATCGATAACCTCCCACCGGCCAATCCATTCCCACAGAGAGGGTCTCCTCAGGGTGCCGTCGGTCAAGCAATGTCGACTGACGACTCCCAGGGGGAGAGCCTTCTCTGTGAGGGCACCCGCCCTCTGGAACGAGCTACCCCTAGGAATACGACTGATCCCGGACCTCCGTACATTCCGCCGAGCGCTGAAGACCTTCTTATTTCAGCAAGCCGGGCTGGCTTAAAATTTTAATGGGCTATTTTATGGGTAAAGGGTTTTAAAATTTGGGGAAGCCAAACTGATCTAATTCTGTTTTAATTTATTTTAATTTTTATACTGTATGTATTTTAATTTTGGCTGTTCACTGCCCTGAGTCCTTCGGGAGAAGGGCGATATACAAATTTAATAAACCTAAACCTAACCTATTCCTGAGTGATCCTGGCCAATTTTCTGTTTGCCAAAAATATCACTTAATTATTTTCATATATTTCTTTCCTCTCTACCCAGATGTAAATAGATAAATGTTTTTCGCTTTTTGGCTGAGGGAAACCACAAAGAAAGAAATTCCCAACACAAAAACCAAACAGATACTGAAAGTGAGAATATGCTTTGCTTGAAACATCATCTAAAGTCAAGGGTGTCCAACTTTGGCAACTGTAAGACCTGTGGGCTTCAACTCCCAGAATTCCTCAGCAAGCATGGTTGGTTGGGGAATTTTGGGAGTTGAAGTCCACAGGTCTTAAAGTTGCCATGGTTTAACATGCCTGACCTAAGTTTTGGCTTGTTTAGATTTGTATCCCAATTTTTTGTTACAGGGTAATACATTAACACTCCCCATTCCCAGGGGTGAAATCCAGCAGGTTCTGACAGCGGACATTTTGAGTAGTTTGGAGAACCGGCAAATACCACCTCTGGCTGGCCCCAGAGTGGGGTGGGAATGGAGATTTTGCAGTATCCTTCCCCTGCCACGCCCACCAAGCCACACCCACAGAACCGGTAGTAAAAAGAATTGGATTTCACCACTGCCCCTCCCATTGTTCCCCCAACACCACCCTGTGAGGTAGACTAGGCAGAGACAGAGAGTGACTTCCCCAAAGTCACCCAAGGAGCTTCTATGTAACAATGAGTGGACCAAAACTCTCCACTGCCAATCCAACATCTTAACTCTTACACCACACAGGGTCTCATGCCTCTTAGTTTACTAAATAAACAACAACTGGCTAGAACACACTAAGCTAAAAGCCAAGAATGTGAACCGAGCCAGAGTCCATGGGGAAATGGTTTAAATTAGCTCTCATCCCAAAGCCAACTTTAAAAAAAAATCTGGAGAGGTTAAAGCAAATAATATAAGATAATATAAATTCTTCAGGTTAAGCTCAAATGTGTTTTGTTTTTGGCAGGACAAATTGTGTGGACCCAACAATTGTGGTTTGTAGATGATGACTTAACATGTTGGTGCAGCCAGCCTTAGTAGAAAGGACGATTTAACAGAAATTACGAGAACTGAGCTCCCATGTTGCTAAATCCACCAAATTACCCTACTGTGCTAAATGTCACCATTTGCAGATGACGTTTTAGAGCCACTTTAGAGTAGAGTACCCGGAGTTCAAAAACTCCAGACCACCAACAGATGGCAGAAAGATTTTTTGTATCTTTCCGCCATCTAGCGGTCCAACGGGTTTTGCAGCTCGGCTCCCTCACGTATTAAACTTACCATTTAATAATTATTAAAGGGGGAAGACAGCAATTCTGTTAAGCACCCATTTTACAATAGACTTGCTGTGAAGTGCCTAGTGTTGAGCCTAACAGTCCAATATTTAAACGAATTCCCTCCGGGGCATTTACTCTTTAGAAAGCACGTCCAGATGTGTAGTAACTAATTTTTGACACTAACTCACCTCAGGAACTGATGATAGGAAAGGCTTGTAAGTATTGTCCCTACTTTACTCTGGGCTTCTTCAAATGAACTATATAAGGCTTTTTCTGTTTGTTTGCCGGAGGGACGTTTCTCCGCCCCCTCCCTGCTTTTTTGGAGGATGGCAAGGAAGCGGCAGGAACACGTGCTCACTACGAAGTGAACGAGCGAGGAAGGACACATCACCTCCGCTTAAATATGCACGGAATAGCACTGTAAACGCGAGGGTATCGTACTATAGAGAATTGCAAAGTGCATTCCGTTATTCCGGCCGGACCATCATTCCGCCGAACCAATTCAAGACCTCAATCCTAAACACGTGGCTTCCTAAAGTATCTACTACTACGGTATCCAACAGGTAAGTCCCGTCTCTGCATCTTCCAGCCTGAAACCCTTATGGCATAAATAGTAGCACTCGGGGATCTCGCCTTCTATTGCCGTATCGATCACGCGGGCGGGCCAATGCCCTGAATTCAAAGAAAGTAGAACTGATCCCCGAGATCTTAAAGCAGCTGCTATTTCCTATTATTTCACCGCCAAGCAGCTTCCGAAAGGAAGAAGGCGGACCTTGACGCCACGAATGGCTGTTCCGCGAAACCAACGCCCCTCCCTCCTCGCCCGGGCCGGGGCTACAAGTAGCCATTGGCTCTGGTTAGAATTTTTGAGGAAACCAGCCGTTTCTTGTAGCCGTCCTTGGTGACGTCGTGTAGTTCTTATTCAATCGTTTGTCATTTGGAAGGACAAGCAAGCATTTCCTTGGGGAAAGAGGCTTTTGCGGAGGAGATAAGCGCCCCGTTGCTTCATTTCCGTTCCTTCGGCTTTGCTGTATAACTTCACAGCTTCTGTCTAGCGGCGTTATCGACGGTAAGTTCCTGAGGCTGCCAGCAGATGGCGCATGTGTGCTTTTTGAACGAAGGTCGTTTAATAGAAGAGTCTATTCGACCTTCGCCCCATTTAGCGTCCTTCTTTGGTTATGTTACAACTAGCCAACAGTAATTAGCTTTGGGGGTCGGAAATTGCCTATCTGGACCCAGTACAATGAAGAAAGCAACGCCTCGTTTAGAAGTTTGCCAATAAATTTGGTTGCTATCCATAATTGTATTTTGTAATCCTACATTGTAACATTTTGTATGTTGGGTTTCCTGGAGAGGTTGATATTGAGGGTAGGTTTACATATTGACAATTTTTTATAATGGCAGGAAATAGCTGTATTCTTTTTCTGGGTAATCAGCATTAAAAATGGCATTCTTCATTTTCATTTCATTTCATTAGATTTATATACCGCCCTACTCCCAAAGGACTCAGGGCGGTGAACAGCCAGAAGGATAAAACACACAAACTACAAAATTTAAAAAACAATATAAAAACCCATTAAATAATTTGGCCCAAAACAATTTAAAACACCCCTAATGTTTTGAAACCAATTTTAAAAGTTACAATTAAAAAGGGAAGTTAGGTCAGGCCAGCCTGTTGAAATAAATAGGTCTTGAGGGCACAGCGAAAGATGCATAAATCCGGGATCCTCCGTATCTCCGGGGGGAGCTCATTCCAGATAGCAGGAATTCTTGTATAGTTCCAACAGTTGCATTATGCATTATGAAGTCTGCACTGAACTGAACTGTCTAAACATAGGAGCTCCTACCCTGCCCTACGTTTGTAGGACTATTCACTTTTCGAAATAACTGGTGCAAGGCTTTGGCTGCCTATTGAGGCCACAAAAGAGACCATTTCAGTGTATTCTTTTGATAAATTCAGCTGTACTCACAACTGAGATGCACTCTGACTTTTTTCAATTATATCAGTGTAATGCATTGGTAACACATAGTATCCCAAAAGTCAAAACTGGTAACAAAGGCAAGATATGGAATCTGGAAGATATAATGTGGAAAAAAAGTGTAACATAGTATGTATCTGAGAAAAGTATTTTCCTGATTTTAATGGGGGTGCTTCCAAGCAAAATGTACTTAGGGTCAAAACCTAAAGCGACTATTTCAATCTGGAATATATTTCAAGTTTGATTAAGAGCTAATTCTTTCCTTTTTTTTAGGCCTGATTCAGATGTACCAACTAAGCCATAGCTTATTTCATCCATGGCTTACTGAATAAATAATGATTGACTTATGCAGTACTAAAGTATAAATCAAAGTTTATCAACCACTGTTGTTGGCTGACAGTATTGTATCATACATGTAGTGATAAAATACAAACTCTATTATATTTACATTATCAGGGACAAAGTCGATAGAAACAGCTTGGTGTTCTGATCTTGTCTTGATAGAGAATTACACCTAATTAATTAGGGCTCAGTTTAGAGATCAGAAATAATATTAAACTGGTTAATTGAAAATGGAGTCCACGGGGCTGTGTTTTTGAATCACAGCTGGTTTACATCAAGTAGCAAAAATATACAGTAGCCTTGAACTGGCTATTGTCAGTAGCTCTCCTCCTCCTTGTCACTTTGGCTGATTTGCTTAGGAGTGGGGAGAGGCCAAGTGGCAAATACAACTTTTCTTTCTTGTCAGCGTGGCTCTCCCTTTATATGCAGGAAAAGAAGGTGAGCAAACGGGAATGGTGAAGAAAAGTTCTATAAACCAGCAGGCCTCAGCAAGTCCCAAACCTGGTCATTTTTGTGCCAACATTTTTGAGAATCATAATGAATTTTGTGTGTCTGAAGTATGCCAAATGACTTTTTCTTCTTGTCTTGATAACTTTGTAATCTTTTGTTAAAGAAAAGTACTTGTATTGAGAGAAGGTTGGCTTGAGGAAAGAGTTTGAAGATGGGAAATGAAGGATTGGGAAAGATATCCTTGCAAGTGAGGTAGAATAATAACATTTATGGTGGAAAACTGGTAGAAGGAGAGGAGTCAGAGAGTTGGCTAGCTAGATAATACAGTTCTCCTTTTTCTCCTAATCTTTTCTCTAGCACTGCTGTTCTTGACCAGTCTAGGTGGCTCAGTGGCTAAGACACTGAGCTTGTTGATCAGAAAGTTTGGCAGTTCGGCGGTTCGAATCCCTAGTACAGGTCTCCTGCATGAGCAGGAGGTTGGACTAGATGACCTCCAAGGCCCCTCCCAACTCTGTTACTGACTGAGCAACTTTTCTGGTTTTTTAAGACTTGAATTCAAGGAATGGCATTCTGGACACTAAATGAGAAGCATCGCATGCAGCGTACAGCAACACTTTCTCGGCAAGTTCTAGAGCGAGCAAAAAAACGGAAATTGTACTGGTGCCTGCCTTCTCATCACCAAAACAGGACCTTTTGGGTAAGGTTTGGTTGGTTTTAATCAATGAGCCTTAGAGCCTGTACCTGGATTCCAGTTCTTTGCCCTGCAGACAAGGTCTATGTATGTTTGTGTGTTTGTTTGATTGATAGATTGATATCCCATCTTTATTATTTTTATAAACAACTCAAAGCAGCAAACCTCTCTAATACTCCACCCTCCTCCTCCTATTTCCCCCACAACAGCAATCCTCTAAAATGGGTTGGGCTCAGAGAGAGTGACTGGCTTAACGTCGCTCAGCTGGTTTTGTACCTAAAGCAGGACTAGAACTCACAGTCTCCTGGTTTCTAGTCTGGTGCTTTAACCACTAGACCACATTGGATCTTTTCTTATATAAAGAGAGAAAATGCTATGTCTCATAGCGAGCAATGTTAGTAGTTTGTTTTGGTTTTAAAAGTGTCATGAGAAGCAGCTAAAACATTTCAACGAATAGAAATGAATACTATTTCCAACTTAAAACATTTTTGTGTGAATGTTTTCATTTGCCTCAAGAGCTAGGGGTACACGATAGCTGCCTAGGATACCTTTTCATTTCTAACTAGGTTTGTGGGGGACACCATAAGAATTGACTTCAGCCAGATTTGGAACTGATGCATAAAACTACAGACTAATCCTGACTTCCAGATGTTCTCATTAATTACCCAGCAAGATTATCAATAGCTCCACCATTCAAGACTACCGTTAGATTCATTGCAAAAGAATTTGGGCTATTTTCTTTCTAAATGTTGTTGCTACTCTAAATATCTCAGAGATTCATCCATACAGGAGACTTTCTCATGGACCCTCTGTCTTTTCTGCTACCTGCTACTTTCCACACAGTCTCTCTTCTAAATAAATAATCACATCATCTTGGCCATATAGCTAAGGACAGGGTATAGATGAGGCAGAAACCTTCTACCGTATTTTTCAGCGTATAAGACGCACCGGAGTATAAGACTTAATTTTTCGGGAGGAAAAACTTCTGAAAGTCTGTTTCAGAAAAAATGTTTTTTTCTGCCTCTGAAAGCCTCCGAAACACAGCTTCAGAAAAAAAGCCTCTGAAGCTCTGTTTGGGGGCTTCTTTTCTGAAGCTTCATTTCTGATGCTTTTTTCAACCTCTGAAACCTCCGTTTGAGAAGCTGGGCGGGGCTACATTCGAAGTATAAGATGCACCCAGATTTTCACCCTCTTTTTGGGAGGAAAAAGGTGCATCTTATGCTCCCAAAAATACAGTATATGCTTAACATATCAATAGCTGTATATAAACCTGACAAAGCAACAAGAAGCAACACTGAGTAGCATTTTAAAGGAGACTGTATATTAATGATGTGCCAGAGTATCAAGCCATATGTAGTTGGGCCTCGTATTTTGGAAGGCTGTTTCTGTATCATAATAAGTTATTTTTTCTTTACACCATGTGTCTCTGCATGTACATTTTATAGTAACATTTTGTTTTTGACAACAGGGAGAGGCTGATATTTCTCTTGAAGATGCTTTTGCTGCAGTTGCTGAACACCTGGCCTGTATCTCTGCAGTGTGCGAGGTAACCAGTTCTATAAAGAGGCAAAATGCAATTCTGACATAAAGGGGCTCTTTATGTGAGAAGGTTTTATGTGATAGGTTTTTCTGTGGGCTAAATTTAGGCTTGGTCTTTTCTTAGTGAAAGCTTAGTCTGTTACCATTCACAGAAAAGGCTGAGACCCAAGAGAGGCCCTTGAAAAAGGGAAGGCAAAAGTTGTTTTGAATTATTTCACCTCTAGTCTCTGTGGCATCTTCCATCTTGTCCCAAATATTCTTCAACCCTTCAGAGCAAATCTCTGATTTACTGTATGCTGAAAAGACTGGTGATCTTGACTCAACCCTTTGAGAATCTGACATGAGCAACTACAATCCCAACCAAGTAACAGTTGCAATTACTTTAATTTCTGAAGAAATCAGGATGTATTATGTTAAACTATCACTTGTGAAATAAAATAACACGATCCCTCTTTTCCTGAGGACAAACTTCTGTTTCATTTGTGTGCATTCTGCTAGCTGTATTAGAAAATTCATTGCTTGGAAGAAACTACAGGATATAAATATGTTTTATTTTGTATTATATATTATTTCATGTGAATTCTTTTTTTAGTTTTGGTATTCTGTTCACCTTGTCTTCAGAAAAGTTTAGCAAATGCTGCCCATACAGTTTCAGGCCCCTCTTTAAGCATTTTTAAGGCTTTGATGTAGCTGTTTAGTTGCATTTCCTACCTGTTCCATCATTCCAGCATTTTGAATTGCATATATGTGTATTCAGTACTGACAGATGATAGATAGATAGATAGATAGATAGATAGATAGATAGATAGATAGATAGGATACAATATGTCACAGACATCCAGAGATAATGGATCATTGTTCTCATTTCAAGAAAAAGAATCTGGCTGTGTAGAATAGGATGCAGGTGTCCTATTACAAAAATGAATTCTGGTTTAGAGTCACTTTGGCGAGATGAATGGCATATAAGTTAGGTAAATAAATAAACAAGCTTCTTTTTCATTTGCTCTTCTGAAGGCAGAAAGTGGAAGCAGAGCCAAGGAGACTGATGCTCATCAGGTCTCAATACGACAAGTCTGGCTTTGAACATTAAAATAACAACATGGATTTAAATAGAGGGGTGAATGTGGAGGGTTGCTTTGAACCCCACGCAGACTTTAAATTGTTTCATGTACACAAAGTGGGTTTACTAATCCCTTTTTCATCAACAACTTTCCTCTAGAATTACTACTGTTCAGTACCACCGTTTCAGTTTGACGAGAATGAAATTGAACATATTTTCCGCTACCACAGCAGAGAAGCATCTCAAAACTTGCTAAGAGCATTTGAAGATGAGGTAATTGTCCTGAATGTTGCTTTCCTCAAAGGCAGAATTGTTTATTCAAGGGCAATGGAACTTTCCATGTATTCTCTTTAGCCAGGATTTTAAAAAATAGAATTGGGTGAATGAGTCATTGGGCCTTCCATCATATGATGCCACATTTTTCTTTCCTTAGAAATTATGAGGGAGGTCAGAGAGACATTGCTGAGCACATTGTTTTTGCAAAGTTCTTGATGGGTGTCCTTGATACCTTCTGGCATTTACTCCTGAAAGGTGTTATTTATGATTTGGGCAAGATGATGGCTGATATATAGTCTGAACTTAGTCACTTCCAGATTTGAAAGCTATAATGTGTTCTCTCTAGGAAAAGAAAAATGCTCCAATAGTGGAAAAGCAAAATGTTCCAGGAGTGGGAAAGCCTGAACGTCACAAAACCAAAGCAACTGTTTTAACTGAACCAACTGCTTTAATTCCAGCTCAGCCATCTGTATCAGAAGCAAGTATCAAGTTGCATTAAATTTCATGATGGGGATGGAGAATCTATGGTCATCTGGATATTGCTAAATCGTATTTTCTAATGATCTTTGCAATTAGGCATGCAGACTAGAGTCATAAAATCATAGGCTAGAAGGGATCTTGAAGATCAACTTCCTGTCCAAGGCAGAAGTCCTTACACCATCCTGGACAAATGATTGTCCAATCTTTTCTTGAAAACCTCCACTGATGGAACACCCATTCATCTCAATGACTAGGATCACTGAGAGCGGGATTGTTAAAGCTAATGCATTTTGCATTTTCTGTATAGTTCATTACCAGTTTATATCTGTCCACAAAATTGCAGATACAATAATTTTCATTTACACAAACAAATACACACACACTGAGACAAACTTTCAAAATCAAGAGAAGAGGGGCGGAAATCTTGTATTGCTTCAGAAAAAGCCTACTTGCAAAGTATTGAATATCATGCTATATACAGTTTGAAAGATTTCTTGAAATAAACATGTAATATTTATGGGTACCCCAGTGACACAACCGATTGGAATATAACATAATAGATTTGGGACTGAAAACTCAACAATGTGCTTGCCAGGACAATTGCCTTAATATCTGATGAACAGTTACTATCTTTCTCCAGTAGATTTTAACTAATATATTTCAGCTCAGGTAGATTGATCAATAGAGTAAATTCTTTTTCACACAATGCTACTAAACTTTATTCATTTGTTCATTAAGAACAATATCCTCCTGATGCAGAAGTTTGTTTTTGTATTTTAAAATTGAAGGGGGGTTTTTTTGTTCATTGCAGGAGATCCTCATTGAAGTGTCACCTGGCTCATACATAATCAACACAACTTCATATGATGACACAATCAAAGAAGCACACCTAGTAAATGTTCATCCAGGAGAAAGTGTAAATCTGGTTTTTCATTTATCTCCTAATAATGACAATTAAAATCAATTTCAATGTCTGAAGTGTCATCTTTTCATACCTAATATATTTACCCTTTTGTTGAGTATTCTTCTCTACTTTATTTTTTAACTGTTATAGCTTGAACTTGATTAACATTTGCTGCAATTTGAATCATGAATGTATTTTTACTTTTGTGCTATGTGATTCTTTGTACCTAATAAATTATGAGAATGATATTGCTTTCTTACAAACACTTGATTCTGCTCTGTGTTTTGTTCACCTAAAATTCTGGCACTGTTGAAGTAGAGTAGGGAAAAGCAATTTTATTTTGCTTCTCTGTAGATAGAACAAACAGTACATTCTGGCTAAAGATAAATGACTAAATCCATTACACTCATCAGCATCTAATGTTTAGTACAAAGCCTTTTGGCTAAGAGCATATCGATTTGATTCCCTTTTATTTTTTTATGGCATGACTAGTCTCAAACTTAAAAAACCAGTTACTTCAAAATTACTTTACCCTGCTGTTGTTCAGGGTTTCAGTAGTATGACAAGAAGAACTTATGAAATAGCTAAGCGAATCTTATAAACAGTGCTACTGTTTAGTGCCATCTTGAATTCCTGAAAGGGGTGGTGGTAGCAATTCTATACATAATTAACCTCCCCACGATGAGCTAGTAATTCCATGGCTCAAGATTTTCTTCATCGAAAGATGCCTTTGATGAGACTGTTCAATGGTTTCAAATATAGCACTGTGGTTGTACAGAATTGGTGGAAATCCATCTCTGGATGACATGGCTTTGTTGTCAGCTCTTTCTTTTCTGCAGCTGCTACTGACAATGTTGGCTCCTATAGATGATATTATAACAATTATAGACTGAAAGGTTGGGGAAAAAAACTTGACTCTACAAAATGTCAGAAATCCACAAGCAGAGTATCTGTGATCCATGAGGAGGACTCGATAGATGAGCCCTGCAAATCATAATGTGATTTGTCACTTAGCATAATGTGTGAACTCAGCCATATTACTAGTTCTGTTGTAAGTACTTTAATGCCTAGAAAAGGTAGTTATCCACCCCCATTAACCTGCTTTAGCTTGATTGGTTATTAACATAAAATAAAATTAGACTATCAGTAACATTGTTCCCTTGGTGGCATTATCTTAGAAATAGCAATAGCAATAGTACTTAGGTATATACCGCTTCACAGTGCTTTACAGCCCTCTCTCAGCAGTTTACAGAGTCAGCATATTGTCCCAAACAATCTGGATCCTCATTTTACTGACCACCAAACTGCTAACAGTCAGCAGTCAGCAGAATTAGCCTGCACTACTGCATTCTAACCACAGCGCCACCACAGCGCATAAATACTTGGCTTTTGCTTGTTTGCTTAATTCAATGACTATTTTCAGTGAAGTTATGGAAAATGAAAAATTATTGTTAGCTGACTTCAATGACTATTTTCAGTGAAATAATGGAAAATGAAAATCTGGTTTAATATTACGCTCTTAGAAACAATTTTGGCAGAACTGCCTATACCAAAGAATTCTTTTATCACATAATACTGAATGCATTCCAAAATATGTAGGCGCATGAACTGACTGACAGCATGATAATATATAACTATCTAGTACTGACCTTTAATATACCTCTGGATTTCAGTAGGAAAATTATTGGCATTTGTTAACTTTGTGTATTTTGCATGTTTACAGGCAAGGTGAAAACTGACCTCTCTATTATCGCAGCAGCCATCTTAGATATTGCTCTGTTGGAAACCCTTACCTATGGTTTGGCTTTGAGATCCTTTTCCTAATGCAATGAAAATGAACTTTGACTTGTCAACTGAAGAGGGTTCTATGGAACTTCTTCCAAACTTAGCCAAAGGATCAGAAGCGGCTTATGCAAAGAAAAATATGCCATGGCTGGAATGCTATCTTCCAATTGTGAACTGAGAGTTGTCAAACCTTCAGCATAAAGATTTAAAGGATATGCATGGGTGACATTGTGTTCAACTCACCTCTGACCCATCAAAAGACTGTCTGCACTTGCCTTTTAAGGGGCCATTTTTAGCTTTTCCCAGAACAAGTCATGCTATCTGGTCTTTCTCAAGTGCATCCTACCAAGGTAAATTGGGCTGAGGATGGCCTTGCTTCTGTTGGCCAATTGAGACTGCGCAACCTCTGCCACTTGATTTTTCAGGGTCACCCATTTTTAGCAGCAGATTTCAGGCTTTCCTACTTCTCTTTTCGAATCAAGAGAGGCAAAAAAGGTCATCTTAATTCTGGTTTCTCTCAGAGAGCAAGGGAAGTGGGATGAAAGTGGTTTTTCAGCAGTAACTTTAAGCTCTCCCCCCCCCCCGCCCCCAAATAGTACAGGTGCCTTCCTTCCCATTCTTCATCCACTGTGGAAGAAGCTAAGCTGTGGGAGAGGACAACTGTATAATGGGAGAACTGTGGGGACCAAATTCACTGGGGAATGGCTTTAACATGGGTTTCTATAGCCAGTCCTCTCACAGTAAAGCTTTCTACAAGTTTATTACTGGGATACTACCTGAAGAGCTGTTTTCAGCTTCTCCCTTCCTCGGTGAGAAGGGAAATGGGTCATGTGGCTCTTTTTGATGCCAGGAGAACTAATGCAAAGAAAATCATTTTGCTGCCTGTCCTCCACTTCTCTTGTTAACCATGATTGGCAGGAGAAATATGCAGTGGGCAAGAGAAGCAGGGGAGAAAGACTCTATGGGATTGGAGAACTGGCAGCAGGAGCCCCATGGATCTTCTTCTAGTAACTGTGGTAGCATCAGAGGCAATAGTCCCCATCCCAATTCTCTCTTCCCTCCACTTATGGCTCAGATGAAACTCCTATTCTCTTTATTGAGTAGGAGTTGAAAGTGCAATTCTTCTTAAGGTGGCATGATTTTTGCCAACTCCTGCACAAAATGTCACCACTTTACAGCTGCCATGTAGAAGTGCCCTCCATCACCATAAAACATTCTTTGTCTTTTTCCTGTTGAAGTAGACTCATAAACTAGATGTTATACGTGGTTGATAACTCCTTATCATCCAAATACATTGTTCCTGAAAACTAACCAAGCTAGTATAAGTGGTTATTTGCCCTTTCTCAAATACGAAATCAGATATGAAAGTGTCTATAATGGAATACTTCACTTCCATTAACACTGTAATATTCATAAAAGTCTCTGGTTTGCAGGCCAAGTCTGGAGAATCTACTATCTTTGAGATGTTACTTTATGGCACTTCCAAGCATCCTCAGCCAGCATGATCCACAGTAAGTTTCATCAAATAACATCTGTAGATGCAAACAATGTCTTTCTCTCCCCCTTCCTCCCTTATGGTATATGTATAAAGGCAAAGGACAAGTTTAATATACTAAATCTGGGGCAACTTGCAGAGTGAACCATCATTAGTTAATATACACTCACATGAGACAGTGACTGGGTTTTACACATAATGCTAAGAAATTAAGGCTAAGTCACAATAGTTTGATTTAAACAACATATAAGCCATAGTATATTTGGGTTGAAATATTTGAATAATCCATTGTGTGGCCTGATTTTCACCCTGTATGTGAAACCAACAGATTCTAGATATCTACTGGAGATCAATCAAGGGAGATCTTGTGTACCTTGGCTTTTATAAACAAAAGTGGGTTGGCTTCTCTTCCAGTACTTCCACTCTGGTCTTCTGGTTTCCTGTAGGGTGGGGTTTTCAAAAAGACTAGAATCTGTGTTCACTGCACGATCTACCATTGTACTCTCGGTCTTATTTTTTTCCCTTTCACACTGAGACTCTGAAGAGGATGAGGAACAGCTGGGTAACACAGCAGCATGTTCTGCTTTGGGAGAGGCTTCTATTGCTAAGAATGGTGTTGTAGGCTTACTAGTGAATTCTTTTTTAAAATCTCCAGAGGTTAATTCAGCTAAAGAGGGCTGTGTCCGCCAGCCACTGTATTCAGAGTAGCAGCGGCAGCAACAGGAGACACATTGCCTGTGTCTAGGCAATAAGCATGTATGATGAAAATCACTACAGCAAGGATGGATAAAACAGCAACGTGTGCACCAGCACCTTTGGAAATCACCCAAAGCACAAGTTGGAATAGTTCTGTGTGAACAATTGAAGTAGCCAGGCCTGTGAGGCTGCCCCTCACATTGCTTCTTGCTTGTGTAGGGCATATGGATCCTCTCTACAATTCTCTCCCACCGTGCTGGAGAAATCCACAAAGCGAGGCCTAATGGAACTTTGGCTTTCTTGCCGTTCCAAAAGCTGACTGTAATTTGCTCGTCTTCTTTTTCTGTTGAAAAGAATATACAGAATGTTTGTTTAAAAATGCCAAGCATGTGTTCTTAACAATTGACTTTGTTGCTATACCAAGTTTGTTTGTTTTTTTCATACTTGACTATTCCATCTCATTTGTGAGAAAGGATTTGGGCAGGCTTTATTTTTTTAAGCAGAGGAAAAAATAAAATTCTCATTTAGCAAGATGAATGGTGGGTGCTGACATCAGATGTAGCCACAAGGTAGCTAAAGGATGTGTATCTTATTTTCACAGAACAATAACTTCTCCCTCTGCAGCCTCATTGGCTTCACATCCCATGGTAAGGCATCAATGAAGTCTTTCATGGGTTTTTCACATCAAGAAGGATACGCCGCCTTGGGGACGGCAGAGTGATGAAAAATACCCCAAACTCCAGCATTCTCCATCAATTCACAAAATCTAAAACCCATCTCAAAATATTTTAAAGTATGCCAAGAAATAAAAAATAGAAGAACATATGCATTTTTTCAAACGGGAAGAAAACTGAGAAATCAAAAAGAAAAATTTCAGTCTGAACCTACTTCACTTAAATTGCACTTGTGGAATATGCTAAGTCAAAAAGCCCTATTAAGGCCATTAATTGTGTAGGTTACAAAATCTGATTTCTGCAAATACTGCAATCCCAAATGGGCAGCTATTTCAATTTTAGTAGACACAGTGAGCGTCAAACCTCAGTTAAAATGCAATATGTAGTGTAGGGGGAGAAAGATGAGAACACATATGCTCAATAACAGAGCTTTTTGGCTTAGTCACCATCTTTAATTACACTTTATGCCCACTCGCATGGCTGCAAAGAGCTGCCTCCATATTCTCTCTAGGTGGTATTTTGTGAAGAGCATGTACTGGAGAAATCCACAAAGTGAGGCCTAATGGAACTTTGGCTTTGTTGCTGTTCCAAAAGCTGACTGTAATTTGCTCGTCTTCTTTTTCTGTTGAAAAGAATATATAGAATGTTTGTTTAAAAATGCCAAGCATGTGTTCTTAACAATTGACTTTGTTACTATACCAAGGTTTTTTTTTTCATACTTGACTATTCCATCTCATTTGTGAGAAAGGATACTATAACACAACTTTCCACCAGATGCAGACTTAACAAAACATACCAAGAAAAATTAAAACTTTCAAAGGGTGTTATATAGTTGAACATATTTGGATCAGTTCATTTTTTGCCTTTTGTTCAGACATATCATTATTTTTCCAATTTGCAAGGAGCCCATTTTCCCATTTTCAGTAAATGATGCCTAGATAGAATCATAAATTGCTAGCCCTTGTCACAATCAAAAAGCTCTTTCTAGCTCCTTCTCGAGCCGAGATTCAGAACTATTTAAAATACTAAACAATATGCGTAGTTCTATTATTTTTACTTCTCTCTGCACCTGCCTTTGGCTACAGAAAGCTGCTCCCATATACTGCACAGTCTACTTACTACCAGTATACAACGCTGTTCCCATGTGCACCCAACTCAAAAGAAAATATAAAAGTGCAAGAGTTTGGTGGTAGGTAAAGGATTGGTGTGTATAAGGGAATGTGTGTTGCTGACAAGTCAGCAAGAGAAGCAGATAACTTAAAACAAGATAGCTGGCTGTGATACACAGTAGACAGTAATGAAACACTGATAAATGCACCACAGCTGGTCCAGGGTCTTAGATCCAACACCCGATGAAGTTGGAAAGGAACAGGGAACATGGGATACTGCAAACAAGAAAGCTGTTGGACATGGATCCCCAGCTGCACTAATCTGCTTATTTGTATGGAAGATAAAGACATTGCATAGAAATATGGGAAAAACTGAGGAACCTATTTCAACAAAAAACCACAAACTCTCAAATTTCAAATATTACAAATTTGTAATAAAGACTTAAAGATGTAGGCAATTTATCAGCATATTTTCTTACAACCAGAACAGCTTAAATAAGGAGAGGTACAATTGCCTATAAGTGGCTTTCTGGTCTATTATCTTCCTGAGAAACATGCAGTATTTTTTTCTCCAGATTAAAGAAAATCCAAGGCTGAGTCTTGTCCAAATATTTTCAAGATCTCAGAAAGCAAATTGAGGAAAGGAAAGATTTCAAAATCGGACCTCCAGGCTCCTAGGAAAAAGAGGGAGGCAATTGCAGGAGCAATTTACATCTCAGAAGGAAATGCCCAGAGAAAGATAAGGAATTCTCAGCAGCAAAACATTTATAAAAACAAATATTACAGCACTGAGTCACGAGGAAATATACTGTCACAAAACAAGAGGAAATCATGAAGAAGAGATGTATCAAGAATGAATTCTGCAAACCAAAAGTAAACAAATCCTGCAAGGGAAATAATTTGCAGGATCAATTCAAAATTAAAACAAGATCTATACAATGGGACTCTTCATATTTTTTTGTAAAGTCTTCGTTGTTTTTCAGGCATAGATAAATATTGTAAAGTTGTGACTTAACTTGCCAAAGATGGAACACATTCAGGATTGTGAAGGAATAATTTATTTAACTTGTATAAGCTACAAAACAGGGACTGTTGAGATTTGCATGCCAAAAGCTTAGCATGTTCCCAGTCTGGAAAATAATATTATGAATATAAAAACAGAGACAACATAAGGAGGTAATATTCTTTATGTTCAAAAGGGAACATCAAAGAAGCATCATACAATGATAGGCAAATATACTGCAAAGGAATATTTTCAAACAAACTGTAAAATCTGTGATATGACAGATTTGACCATAAATGCTAACTATATTTCAAAGTTGATGAACAATTTAGCAACATGTCAATGTTTACTCTTGCTACTCTGAATTCAAATGTATTGACTTCAATAAAGCAAATGCAATTAGAGCCTCTTATTTATTATCCATAAAAAAAAAAAAACATCCACAAGGCAACCTCCACAGTGACTTTTGTAAGCTATACGTTGTAAATATGTGTAGAAGAATTGATTCTGCCACAGAAACAGGTAAATTACCTAGTGTGATGTAGCTTAACAAAAGACAAAAACCAAGTGTTATTAGGATGTCAGAAATCAATTTAGACTTCCCAGCAGGAAAGAGACAGTGCAGCAGCCTCAACAAGAGGAAACTGTAATCTATGACAGGAAAAGGGTACCTGAGTCAGAAGGAATATAGCTGTTGAGTCAGAGGTAAGATTTTCAGAAGGTCCAAAGAGATGTCACTGAAAAGACTTTCTCTTCAAGCCAAGAAGGAGAACACCCAAACCCTCCTCACAGCAGGACATTGAAAACATGCAAGATGCTAAAGCACTAACCATAAGAGATATGTGAAATGATAGTAGTCATGAACAGATGCACACACCTATGAGAAGGGGACTGGAAGATCAATTTGGAGGTATATAATCTCATTGGACTGTCTTCATTCCAGGAGATGCAATAGTTAAAAGTTAGTGTAGTGATTCTGTTCTTTGACATGTCCTCTTCAGTTAGACAGATACGCTCATGGCTAACCCAGTTCCAGTTCCTGCTCTCTTCCCCCCATAAATATTTTCTCCTTTCTTTAATAGGTACTGTTCCAGGTTCCATGTGGTCTAGCGAACTATATGGCCTTTCATTCTTTGGCTAGATCTATATGCAGTTAGATCAGGTTTTTAAACTTTTTATCTCAATGCAATATCCTACTAAAGATTTTCTTCTTTTTAAAAGAGAAGCACCAGCCTATTTTTATTTCCCTTGGCAAACACAGCCTAAAGCTAATCCCAAGTATTTTTTTTTCTTTTAATGACACTATAATCCCTTGCATCAGGGTGGAGTTGGGGTGACTGAATGGAGCTGAGCATTTATTGGTCAGATGCCCTTCCTAAAACCTATTCACAGAATAGGTTTTCTCCTTGCACCCAGAGAGTGAAATATCTACCATACCTAGGATCGAATCTACAGCCTCCTGATTGTGAGTTCCACCTCTAGACCACCATGCCTCTCATAAAGCTACTCCCCAAGTATATGGCAAGGTTATTTCAATTTTACCTCGCAGAGGTTCTCTGGTTTCCATGCCCTGGAGGACAGTTCCTGGCCCGTACCTCTTCTGCTCTGGTTCCCAGGGGGCCATCACTTTATCACCAGGCAGGATAGAATGTCTCATTCCATTCACACATTCAAGGATATCACTGCTGGCTGTTTTTTGCGAATAAGGTGCGTCTTGCCCCATTGCAAATTGTACCAGAAATGATCTTTGCTCACCTTCCTATCAGAAAGAAAAAAAATATGTTTTTAAAAATATCACAAATAATTGGAAAGTGTTCCTATTGATAATTTAGAACACTTTTTTTTTTGAAAAAGTAAACCCATTCAAGGGAGAAAATAATCCCCCAACTCAATTGTTAGTTGAATTTCTCTTTGAGTGTTTGACCTTTTTTTTATTTATTTATATGCCGTCCTTCTCCGGAGACTCAGGGCGGCTTACAATGTGTTAAGCAATAGCCTTCATACTTTTGTATATTTTTTACAAAGTCAGCTTATTGCCCCCACAAACTGGATCCTCATTTTACCTACCTTACAAAGGATGGAAGGCTGAGTCAACCTTGAGCCTGGTGAGAATTGAACTCGCAGTAATTGCAGGCAGCTGGAAGCTAAATACTACCTTTTAACAATAGCATTAGTCTGCTGTGCCACTCAGGCTCCTATATATATTACGCAAAGTTGATATAAGGCTCCTTTTAGTAACCATTAAATTTTATTTCATATGTGAAACTCATTCATAGTTTCCTTTGTCATGTTGCTTTCTTCCATATTTTACAACCACTTTTACTTGCCTGGGTTATTTGGAACAAAAAGCAAACAGAGGTATTCTTTTCAACTGATTTCAAAAAATGAATATAAAAAGTAGATACAAGATACATTTTGAATATAGTTAAAAGATGACATAGCTAGAGGAATCCAACATGAACAAACGAGTTTGTTCCTACCACGTTGGTATTAAATCATTTATTCAGGTCTAAGTATCATTTTGTGTAATGATTTGAGGGAATGACATTGAGGGACAAAGATCAGACAAGAGAGGGAGGAACCCCTAGTAACTTAATGGTCAGAGAAAGAAATTTAGGAAAGACCAACCACAATTGATCAAGCTGCTAAAAGTGACTGCGGGAGATTTGTATTTTCACACTTGCATGATTTTGTTAATTTGCCTTACAATAAAGTTGAATTATATTAACTGGCTGTGTTTCCTATCTGGCCTATCTGGAAGGGCTGACATTTTGGGCATAACACAAGAAATAATATATTTTAAGCTGAAAATGTTAAATGGAGAATCTATTACCAATCAATCATACTTTAACTACAAACTGATTTTTTTAAAAAATAAGAAAAACTATTTTGCAATGATTATCCTCCCTCTGTGAATCAGTCTTAGCCAAAAGAAATAATGCCAAATGTGTTTGTTATAGTCCAGTGGTGGCTAACCTTTTTGCCGTTGCATGCCAAAAGTGGGAAGAGCGCGGGGAGGTCGCCCATGTACATGCCCACACCCATAATTCAATGTACCCTGCCCCCGCGCATGCGTGTGTGACCCCAAGTCCCCCCGCTTTTAGCACACAATGGCACGATTGGCTCGGTAGGCCCGTTTTTCACCCTCCTCCAGATGCTTTCTAGGAGCCTGGGGAGGGCAAAAACGACCTTCCCCACCCCCTGGAGGCCTTCTGGAGGCTGGAAACAGCCCATTTTCCAACTTCCGGTGGGACCAGAAGGACCAAAAATCAGCTGGCTGGCGCACGCATGTGCGCTGGAGCTGAGCTATGGCAACACTCGCGTGCCCACAGATATGGCTCTGTGTGCCACCTGTGGCACCCGTGCCATAGGTTCGCCATCACGGTTATAGTCTATCCTACTCCAGGTGGCCATCTGAGGTTCCCTCTGAGGTAAGAATTTCCAGAATTTGGCCCCAAAGTTCATTGTTCTTTGATCTATAGGAAGATTTAGTAAGTTCAATATCATCAGAAATCACAATACCTGAAAATCTTTGCTATTGAACTGAATGCTATTCAGCACAACTCTTCCAAATTTGGGTTATATTAGGAAAGGTAACTCAACACATCCATACTGTTTAAATAGCGATTCTGCAGTAAAAGCAAACCGAGCTAACTTGTTATAAAATCAAAAGATTTTCTTCCTCTCACCCCATCATCCCCTTGAGTTTTTTCTGCCTGCTCTGGGGCTGTTTAAAAATTAGAATGTTTGTTTTTCTAATTGCACTCTGTCTTTGTATGTAGAATGAGACTTGAGCGTTGAGTTGGTCACACAAAAGCTGGATTCACTCCAGAGTCGCTGCCTTCTGAATAGCTCGTTCTTCAGAGTTATCGGATGTTGAGTGACTGTGGTGAGCAAACAAACCTGCGTCTTGCTTTTCAGAAGGAACATACCATGTTTGTTTCAGGTGCTAACAACTAATGAATTGAAGGCAGGCTTTCTTTTCTACTGTCAAGTTTATATATCAACACGCCTGCCACCTTTCCAGCAATAATGTTATTTATCAAATATCACTAGTTGCAGAGATCTTCAAAATAGCACAAACCTTCCTAGAACTCTGGTGCTACTGAAGAAATAAAAGAACCGGTTTTAGCCTGATGAAAAGGTCTAATAAGGTAATCTTATACCTCTAGTTACAACCATCTCCCTCAGTCATGTGCCCTTCAGGTTGCTGCTCCTGCTACTGTATTCCTAGTTGGCATGTTTCTGTTTAGCTGGGAATAAAGGAGTTGAGTGTAGCAATAGCAATAGCACTTAGATTTATATACCACTTAATAGCACTTTACAGCTCTTTCTAAGCCGTTTACAGAGTCAGCATATTGTCTCCAACAATCTGGGTCCTCATTTTACTGACCTCGGAAGGATGGAAAGCTGAGTCAACCTTGAGCCAGTCAGGATCGAACTGCTGACAGTTGACAGAATTAGCCTGCAATACTGCATTCTAACCATCGCGCCACAATAGTTCCTATAAGTGTATCTAGGTTAGGGGTTGAGGAGAGTTGGAGTGGGATTATACTACAAAGTTAGTTCTCAGTATAAGCCATGGATAAAGAAATTGGTGTTCTGTAATAATTGGATAATTTCTGGTGTCTTTTTCCATTCCCCCACTGCTGCTGGGACTGTTGGATGTTGATATTGAAAATATCTGGAGTGTACTGGCTTGCTTATTCTTGGCATAAATTTATGTTCCTAAGGTAGTGCAAGATGGGACTAAGCAAATAAATGAAACCTAGAAAGGTCAATGTTGGAAAAATTACCAGGCAACTGTCATGAAGTCTTCTAATGATGTGGTTAGAGTTACACTGTTATAACTGGCTAGAAGGCATTCCTTAGGATTTATTAGAGAAGGAAGAGGGGCTGGATGTCATGATTAACAGGCTCTAAATTTTGACTGCCCCTGCCCTAAAATAACATGAGACAGATTAGGGTGGGAGTTGGAGGGTGGTGAGTAGAAGAGAGGATTTGTGATATCTGGAAAATGAATACAAATGATGTTTATTGCCCTTATCTTTGTAGCATAATTAGAATAAACTAGTTATGTTATTCTAGCATAACTAGAATAAACTAGTTATTGTAGTTTAAACTTTCTTCAATTGATTTCAACAGTATTCATCATTTTCTAGTTTATTCTTCATTTACAAGAGAAGCAATGTTATCATTTACTATAGGGGTAGCAAAGGCATTCATTCCACAATGAGATCACATTAAATGTATTTTATTTTACTTACTTACTTATTTACTTATTAAATGTATATGCCACTCATCTCACTGTCAGGCAACTCTGAGTAGCTTATTATCCACAACTACTTACATTTTTATATTATATTTCTCCTGGTGTGATTCCTTTTCCTGTTATCTCTGTCCTTGGATTGATTCAGTATGAATTAAGTGGATTTGTATAACCCTATGAATCAGGGGTGAAATCCTCTGAAGTCTGCTACCGGTTCTGTGAATCTGCTACCGAGTGCACACTTCACACATATGCGTGCCTGAGGTGCCCGCACAGCACTAAAAAAGGAACATTTTGAAGCCTTCCAAGCCTCTAAAGGTAAGTAGAACAGCAAGGGGGGGGAAATCCACTGTGCCACGCGATTTAGATTAGCTAGAAAGCAGGAAATCCAACTATTCTAGCTAATATAAATCACGCATCACAGCTGATCATCACCCAGCTGATCGTCGGAAATACTAGTTCGCCAGAACTGGTAGCATTTCACCCCTGCCTATGAACTGATCCCTTGTTGCACTAAACTGACCAAAATGGTTATTGTGAGTAAATACATTCAACTGAATTTTTGTAGTTTCTTTATATTACTTGGTGTACATTTAATCACCTTTCTAACCATGTAGAAAATAATTTTGCAACTTGCCTCTAAATCTTTTATGATTGTTCCTCGGTAATAATAACAGTTGCTTTCTTTTTTTGCCAGAACCGGACTACCAACATCCAGTGACCACTCCAAATTCTGTCCTGCCCTACATTTTGCATCAAGAAGAAAGGGACAGTAGTTGCGACATGAACACCTTGGAATAAAATGGAAGAATTTTAGCTGAGAACCCCACAGCAAAAACTAATCACACATAACAGTAAATGTTATCCGTATTCTTAAGCTACACATGTTTAAATCCCAGTTTAAATCCCAGTTTGTCTGCAGGTGTGGTTAAAAGAATATCAAATTGATGTCCACGCCGGTACGATAAATGTTCTATCTATTTTTATGCCTGATTCCATAGGACTATCATGGCTGCCATCTTGATTTCCTTTAATCATACCTGTGGACACTCCTGGTCCCAGGAGGAAAATGTCACACTTTAGCAAATTCTGCTAAGCATTGCCTTCACTCAGTGGTGGGATTCAACTGGTTCGCACCACTTCGGCCGAACAGGTTGTTAAATTGCTAGCTCAGTGCAGGAGGCTGAGTGCTACCTGTCACAGCCCCTGGCCATGTCCATCATGACCACACCTACCCAGCTGGTCATTAGATCAGAGAACTGGTTGTTAAATTATTTGAATCCCACCACTGCCCCCACCTGCTTGGGTAAAAAAAATAATCAAGCAAGAATGTATAATACTATACTTGTGGAATTCTGGGATAAAGAAAGACAGAGTTTAATGCCTTAATCTCTTCTCATTTTAAAGAAATAAATATTATTTGTTTATTTATTACCTTGTTGTGAGAAGTGGGCTAATGCCATATGAAGGATGCACTAACAAGCAGCCGCTGCAGATGGAACTGGGATTAACTATGACATTTCTGTGTAAAGATTCAGTTTGCCTGGGCACTGTACAGCAGCGTCTGTGGTATGGCCAAGAGGACAAGGTACATTCGCTCATTCTTTCAGGGCTCTCTACAATAAAAAAGAGCATAGTCTATTATACAAATGGAGAGATATGCATCCTTTGCTTGAAAATATATTTAAATCAGGCTCTTCTCCACAATTAACTGATCTAGAGATGAACCTCTTGTATTGTTCAGAAATATGAGGAAATATTTGGTGCAATTGCAAACTAATCCATACTTAACCAACAGTTAACCAAGTTCTGGAGACTGCTGCAAATATCATAGAAGAACCCTGAGAGTGAAACAGTTCAAATCAATCGACTTAATTTTGAATTGCTTCATACCAGATCAGTCTGTTCTTTTTGCTAGATTCCCCAGACTGTCTTTTGAATAGGCTCATTCAATGTCTTCCTTCTTTTTCTCCTGTTGCTGGAAGCACAATCTTTTTGCAGCCAATTAAGGATAAAAATTACCCAGAATAATCCCAGAAGTGCTTTTTCCAAAAGGCAACTGGGCTTTCTTGGTTTTTTCCTTTGAAAATATTCTGTTTTTCATCCAAGAAGCTCCTGAAGTTCAAGTAGAGCTAGAACTGTAGAAGCTTCATGGATGCGAAGCAAAACATTTTCAAAGGGAAAAAAAAAACCCCAAGAAAGTCCAGTTGCCTTTTGGAAAAAGCACCTTTGGGACAACTATGACCTGGATGATTGAGAATCTCCATAGACATTTCACCCGTAATAATATATTAGGAACATTAGTTCTGGGATTCTCAAACTATAGGCCATGACTCCTAAGTACTGTATTGCAATCGGAAGGCCACAAAAGTTTTTTAAAATGATCAGGCTTGCTCAGGTGCAGTAGAAGGCAAAGTCCAGGGCAAGTTTGGAGATAAACTTATGGGTCTCTATGAATATCAACAACTAACCACAGCAGTTTTCTTTATGTATTATTTACTAAGAGGACTTGCACTCATCCATTTATTTAGAGGGCTGTGGTATTGCAACAGTGGTGGGTTGCCCCCGGTTCGAACCGGTTCTATAGAACTAGTAGTAAAACCAGTGGGAGGCTCTGCCCACTGACCCTGACATCATCAGGAAGCTTCTGCTCACACGCACGTCCCCATTGCGAACCGGTAGTAAAGGTAAGTAGAACCCACCCCTGTACTGCAAAGTTTGAGAAACCAACCTTAATCATTGCTACCTAAATGGACTTTGGGCTGGATATTCCTTTTGCATCCAGGGTCTTAGGATATGCTGAGTATAGCTAAGTGATTGAAGAATGTGCTACCATCATATTTTAGAGCTCTGGTGCATATGACATAAGGCAAAATTATGAATGTTTTCTTGGTTTCTTGTTGGTTTCTATATTATTTATTTATTTATTTATTTATTTATTTATTTATTTATTTATTTATTTATTGAATTTCTATACCGCCCTTCTCCTGTAGGACTACTATAATAATACTATATAATAACTACTGGTCAGGAGAGAAGTGAAATAATGTTTTTCTTGTTTCTTAAGAAGCTACTCCAGTTGCCCTTAGGACAATCTGGTTTTGTTTATTTGTTTATGCTTACTAAAATTATAATCCTCCTTTCTTTGAAATCAGTTGGACTCACCTCTGAAATGGTATGATAGGATTGTGCTCTGCAAATAGCAACATAACCAAACTTTCTTTATAAACAAAGCACTTCTGTAGTAGGTTCTATACTGGTCAGAAGGGAAAAGAGGGGGAGAGCCTGGGAAAACCTGGTGTCTGAGTTTATTCCTTTTTTTTAAAGAGGGGGAGGGGATGGAGGGAGGAAGAGAGAGAGGGAGAGAGAGAGAGAGAGATACAACTGCTCTGCAAATCCCAACTGGTGGATTTACTTATTTTAGGAGTGTCTTTTTTCCTCTCTGCTTTAATATGATGAAATGCACATAAACAATTTGGAAGTTTTATTTGGATCAAGCCCCAAAGGTCATTTCTTTGGGGTTTGACAGACAGAGTATGCTGGGAGACTAACAAAGAGATGTTGATCATGGTGAGTCACAAATGGGCTAATCATCTCCCTATTTCTGATCCTGAAATGTTGGCAGGTCGAGTATTTTGCATAATTGAGCAATATGTCTAATGTCTGGAAATAGCTCCAAAATGATGGGGGGAGGAGGGGGGGCTTTATAGGTAAATGTTATGTATTCATGAAATATATGAAATTCTTTTCTTAGTACAAGTAAGGCTGCAAGTTACACCTGTTCGCTTAGAAGAAAATGCCACTGAACTCAAAAGGACACAGTGGAGTGCAAGCATGTGAGTTCTCTTCAGTCAGACTATTACAATAGTGCAAGTAAAGATAGTCCTTGACTTACAACAGTTCATTTTTAGTGACTGTTAGAAGTTACAATGGAACCGAAAAAAAATGACTTCTGACCATTTTTCACTTCTGACCATTGCAGTATCTCCAGAATCATGTGATCAAAATTCAGATGCTAGGCAGCTGACCCATATTTATGACAGTTGCACTGTCCTGCAGGTCATGTGATCGCTTTTTGTCACCTTATGACAAGTGTTAGGAAATGAGTATTACCTACCTTGTTGGGTTGGCAATATATACACCATCAATATAGCTTTAAGACTGCTGTATTGCATCATATTGTGTCCTGATTGGTTAGCTCTGTAGCCAATCTCCTTAAGAGGGAGCTAGAAACATGGTTTGTTTCTCTTTGCTGTTCTTGCTCTCTGATATCTCTGTATGCTACTGTTTGCAAATCCAGAAGAACTGTTTATTGTGAATGACTATGACGACTGGTAAGAAGACTTTGTTATTGGATTATCCCTGGACTGTCGTTTTGCTATCTCCTGCTTTATATGTGTATGACCGGGACTGTTTATTGGACTGTGCCTTACTATTTCCTGAAAGTAAACACAACTCAGTGTATCTGTGTGTTGACTGTGTTTATTCGTATCTACTCTCAATCGCTTTCATGTGTACACCCTTGCTATTCAAGGATTACTCTGCAAATTCCTTAACAACAAGCAAAGTCAATGGGGAAGGCAGACTCATTTAACAACCATGTTACTAATTTAACCACTACAGTGATTCACTTAACAACTCTGGCAAGAAAGGTTGTAAAATGGAGAAAAACAAATGTCTCACTTAGCAACATAAATTTTGGGCTCAATTATGATTGTAAGTCGAGGACTACCTGTATCTCACAAGCGCCTGACACCCAGCCTTCTCATTGGCTTGCAAGCTGTCAAATGCTTAGAAGTTCCTGTTCCTCTTTCCCTCACTTGCAAGCCTGTTTCAGTGCTAGAAGATATTCAAATAGGATTCCCGGAAACTGCTGGTTCCGTTTTAGCTCTCCAGGAAGGGCCTTTTCCTGAAGGAGAACCTTTTTTTTCCTGAGGCCAGAATAGGAGGCACAGCTACACACCAATGTAGCTTTCCTCCAATTAAAGGGAAGTTGGAAATTTCTCTCTAAGTTAAAGAGGGGGGTGACTGGATGATAGCAGGAGCCCTATCCCTTCACATCTTCTAGTATTGGCCCATATGTATCGGGATCCTTTAGTTTAATTCATTCCCCTTAAATTAGTGAATTTCTATTTTCAGATAAGATTATGCATGTGTGTAAATCAAGCAGAAAGATGGAAATGAATCAAGATTCTCATATAATGTTGTTTTGGGATTTTATGTTTTTAATTTTTTTTTTATTTTAATTACTGCAACAGATCTCATCCTTGGAATGTTTATTTTGAGCTTTACCTTAAAGCAAAGTGACATAATATTAACAACAGAAGATGAATAAGTACTGTAGTTGAGCTACCGTATCACAATGTTATGTATGGGGTGTTTTTTTTTTAGTGTTTTTACATATATTCTTTTCCTGGCTATGCTTATGAAATAGTAGCCCCAAAGTTCTGTCTTCAATTGTGGCATACGGGACATATGCTGCCTGAGATGAAGATCACAATGTTGCTCCCTATTTTCCAAGTTGACCATTTATTTAAGAAATGGGCATAGAAGGTTACCTTACATTAAGTCAAAGTATTGATCTCACTCAGTAATGTTCCCTTCTGTCTTTTCATCATCCTCAATCTAGCACCATTCAAAATTTGATGGGACTGAAACTCTCCAAATTCTTATTGGTGCATGGTCTAGTTCAAGATAATGAAAAGTGAAATTCAAACACAATTGCTTCTAGCCCCTCTCATAGTTACATGACAGAGCCTGTATCCCACCAATGAGACATTATTCACACATACACACAAAACACACAAAATTTGAGATAATTGGATGAAATAGGTCTTTGCCTAATGTTGGAAATCCCAGATAGTCTTTCTGAAGAAGCTTTTCCAAAATGAGTCTGTTATCATTTTAAAAAGCATTTCCTATGTAGCCAGGCCCCTCAATTCATTTGGTGGGGATACTTTGGTGGGGATACATTTGGTGGGAATACCTTTGAAGTTCAGATATATAAGACCATATGCAGTGGTGAAATCCAAATTTTTTTACTACCGGTTCTGTGGGTGTGGCTTGGGGGCGTGGCATGGCTTGGTGGGCATGGCTTGGTGGGTGTGGCAGGGGAAGGATACTGCAAAATCCCCATTCCCACCCCACTCCAGGGGAAGGATACTGCAAAATCCCCATTCCCACCCCACTCTGGGGCCAGTCAGAAGTGGTATTTACCGGTTCTCCAAACTGCTCAAAATTTCCACTACCGGTTCTCCAGAACCTGCTGGATTTCACCCCTGACCATATGGGAAAAACCATTTGTCAGGTAACCTGGCCCCAAGTTTCTTGAATGTTTAAATATAAAAATCAAAGCATTCTAAGTGAAGTTCAGAAACAGGCTGGCATTGAATTTTATTGCTGACAGGACTTAGGAAAACATGTTATAGAACATGTTTTGTTCCTGAGAACAAAAAGCCCAAGGAAAATCACATGGCAAATGCATCTTTATCATTGCAATATTGCTGATTCCCAAGTTCCTATAATTACTTTCTTACCAGAAAATATGGGCATCTCTCCTACAAAGACCGTCTTTACCAGAGAGCTCATGATACAGAAAGCACTTTATGTAAATGTTTGAAGAATGTTTTGATTTGCTCACTGTTCTCCGCATTTATCCTGACTGACTTTTCAAAATAAAGAGACTTTACAGTGACAGCCAGTGAGACATTATTTTGTTACTGTCAAAGTAATATTTACAAAGTGATAGCAGCTTCAGGCATCTCAAACTTTAGCAGATATGCTGACAAAAATATTTGACATCATTTCATAGAGGTATACAGTTTGACTTGGTATAGTTGTCAGAATTAAAGAAAGCAGATGATGGCTTTACCAATAACGGTGCTGGCAAGCATTGGCTTATTATTTTATTCATCTTCCAGAAATAATTTTGAAGGAATTTCCACGTTAAAAAAAAGAGCTTAAATCAGGGGTGTCAAACTCGCAGTGTCACGGCAGTCTCATGTGATGTATTATGACTTTCCCCCCCTCCGCTAAACCAGGTGTGGGCATGGCCAGTGTGTGACTCATCCGGCCCACAGGCCAGGAGTTTGACAGCCTTGTCTTAGATTATATTCTCCCACAAGAGATACTCTGATTAAAAGAATCTGGAGTTCAGCCAACAAAGAGTGCATTATATCATGTAACAGGCTTTAGATAATTTAGATAATTGTCATGTAACAGGATAATTGTATGTCTATAAGTAGGTAAGTATCCTTAACTGTCACTATAAAGTCATTAAAACTTACTTTCAAGTTCCTGAGCACAGGATCAGTGGTGGGTTCCTCCCGGTTCGGCCCAGTTCTCCCGAGCTGGTAGCGGTGACGATATGACGTCACTGAACCGGTTCTGTCCCCCCCCCTGCACCCCACCCCCACCCCCCGTGGCCCCACCCACTCACCCCCCATGTTATTCTTACTTTTTATTTGGCCCCACCCCCGTATCTATTGCTGCCTCCTGAGTCCCAGCTGATGGCTAGAGGGAAAAAAACTGTCTTGCTGCTGCTTCAAAGGGCTGCCCTACAGCTGATCAGTGTTAAAAGAAAACAAATGAGTAGACCAGTGCCTGCAAAAATAAATGGGTAGACCAGTGCCTGCAAAAATAAATGGGTAGATCAGTACAGCTCTGCAAGCAGTTAAGTCTGGTAGACCAGTACCTCTGCTAAATCCTAAATAATTGTCACATGACCATCAAGCCACGCCCACAAAATAAGCCACACCCACAGAACCAGTAGTAAAAAAATTTAGAACCCACCCCTGGACAGGATGTGCTTTTAGAAGTAACAAGCTTATACAAGCAGTCTATATTCCTCTTTCTAACTCCCCCTGTTAATTCTCTAAAGAACATTTACTTGTTTGCCTGCCTTGTAATTGGGTAATCAATTACATGTTGTGAATGACCACTTCCCATTGGCTGTTCTTCTCTGCATTTTAGGATGAGATGATATTATGAAGCAGGGTTGCTTTTTCAATTATTTATCAATTATTCTTTAGTTAAAAAGCCATCTTCAGTATTCTCATTTTCTTTCTCCATCAATGCCCAAATAGTACTGCTGTATCAATGCAGAGCAGCCTTCTGTGTGGTTTTTTTGAACTCTGATATGTTCCTTGTAGACTATATAGGAATATCGTCCTTGTAGGAATATATCTGGGAATCAATTTGCATTTATAATTTTTTTTTTTAGTTTTGTTGAGTAACAAAAAGCATCACTAACATTGAAGCCCTGGTAACTTAATTTACATTTCATTGACTAGTCCCTAGGTAATTGTCTAAGAAAAATACTACAGCATTAGTCTTTTTAAAAACTGTAATTCTTAATAAAGAATTATAGAACAGCATAGGTATACTTTGCTACTCTTTGCATCTTTCACGAAGTTTTGCATGGTATAAGATCCTAGAAACTTATAGCAGAATTCACTTGAATGAATGGAATTAAGTGACAATAGCTAACAAGTACAGTACTGGAAGAAATAGTACCGGGTATGTCAGTTAGTTTTTTTGTAAAATGACCTGGAAAGTTGGAGATATTATCAATGTAAAAGCAATTTTAAAAAAACAACTCACCAGAGGCTGCTGTGCTAAAGAATTACTGAACTGGACTGACCTTGGCAATATTGAACTGCTTTGCTGCTGGGCAGAGTTGGTGGCTAATGTTTCCTGTTACTAAGGAGATTGCCATGGACTCATTGCTACCAGGAATATAATGTAAAAGAGCAAAGCTAATGTGTACACACACACACACACACTTATCAGCAAGAATTGGTCTCAGTGTTCCTTCTCAGGTTACTGACATCAGCCAACAACTAAGCAAGAAAATCAGAGAAGGAACACTGGGGACTGACAGAAAAAATTGTTCAGCTTCCTACTTCTGTGTGTGCGATGAAGCCTTCCTTCAGGGGAAGACCCCATGGTGCTAGTGCAGAAAAAGCATTTGATCCACAATTAATTAGCAGTCCTACTCAATCCTTTCATCCTTTACACTCTTTTTTCAAGAGGGAAAGATGAGGCCTAAATAAAAGTGGCAGAACCAGTGTCTCCCAGCACTTTTTGTAGGCTAACTCCAGTTTGTGCCTATTACCTAGTTGCTAAGTACAGTTATCATGGTTCCAGACAGACTTCTTTGACTGTCATCTTATTTATACTCAGTAGAAATTGCTTTAAAAAATCTCAGCAACAAATGATTTTGATCCAACTGGAGGTAGAATCTCAGAAAATTGAAACCGAGGATGTTTGCCTGTTTTTTCATCCATCATCAAGGCCAAATCTAAAAAAGGCCTCTATCAGTTAGAACAGGAGGGTCTGTAAGGTGGGATCAAAAAAGTCAAAATTGTAGCTTCAAAGATAGAATGACAGTATCCCAAGACCCATAGAGCTCTGCTCTTGGGGTATTTCTTAAAGTACTATAGTCTCTACATAAATCAAGCAGCTTGCTTTGAAAGATATAATTACAATACCAGTTTTTGCCTTTTAGGCAAATATCCAGCAACTTTATAAACTTATTTGGTAATTTTTTTGTCACCTTTGGAGAAATTTTAATTATTGGGTGGATTTAAAAAAATCTAACAAATGAATACTGTAAATAAAATTAATGCTTTTCACAAAATACCAGAATCTTTCAATCCTTTTTATTAAAATATATACTTACTTAAAATGCACTGCTTGAAATGACACAGTGAGATTATTTTCTTTCCCGTTGTAATAAAAATTGCTCACATATTATTGCTCATTTTTAAGAATAATTTCAGATTCTAGATGATGTAATTATTTGAAATCTGCACACCCTTAAACATCTCACAGGCATATGTAATACTGTCTAGCAATGTTAATCTTGCAACTAGTTTTGATCTCTACGGAGAAGATCGTTCTTATTTTGATATTTTTTAGTTTTGATCTGTACAAGCGAGATATTTCTGGGGTTTTCAGATCCGATTGCATTTGCCCTGTGCAGAAAAGATTATAAAGTCCTTGCTGATGGATCATTTTGAGTACTCCTTGAGGGGGGAATGCTGAACGCCTCTGCAATCCTCCTCTGAATTGTCAGAAAGTAGAGACTGGAGAAACTCGATATATTTAATTGCAGCTCTCAGTGTTTCAACTTTGCTGAGCCGTTTGTCTAAGTATTCTGGCGGTAAGTGGTGTCTAAGTTTGGCATAGCCTTCATTGACACATTTAACTCTCTGCCTTTCCCTTTCGTTTCTTTTTCGGATGAATGCTGGGCTGCAAGAGTAGTCACATCTGCCAAAATTTCCACAGGAGACTTGAAATGGGAACCCATAAGGATTGCTGTAGAAATTCTCAGGAGTTGGAGGTTCTGCTGTTAATGGAAGTAGAGGCAACTCTTCAGAGCTGTTGAATTGACTGAGGTCCTCTGGGCACAAATGAAAAGTGGCAAAAAGATCTCGATAGCAAAATCTGGACATCTGTCCCACGTAGGAGTCACTGAAGGTTGGCAATTTATCCATGACATCCCAGGAGATGTTCCTGGTTATGGTGTCTCAGGTAAAGCTGAAAATGTTCAAATGCATATGAGCACAGTGAGTCACAGATTGCCCAAGACTAGGTGTGATTGTCAGTATTTTTAGTGCACTTCAGATGTAATGGAAATATGTGGGAGAATGTACAGATGCAGTCCTGACCTACTTAGCTATAATATTTTTTATGAAAAAGGGATGTGATTATATTGCCAATATATGTGATCAGTGTTTACACCCCAGTAAATCTTTGCTCTTTACCTTGATTCACAAATGTTAAGATTGACCAACAATGTATTATGTGTATGTCTTATTCTATATCAGCAGTACAGAAATAACATTTATCCTTTCTTAAGCACGGATTCGTTTATTTATAAGAAATCATATGAGCAATCAAAACCTTTCTTGCATGGAAGATTTCTTCATATCAGCATACCATCAAATATTTCACTTTAAGTACCGTATGTAAAAGTAACAATCAAATAATGTCATCTTAGCCAATCTATATTGTTAGAACTTCTGTGGTACACAAGAAACATGAGTTTAAATACACCAATTGCTTCAGAACATTTAAGAAAACTACCACATCTTAGTTGAAGGTTCAGGTTAACTGCTTCAATATCAGACAACTCCTAGAGTTAGAAAATAACTCTAAATTCTTGATTCCTACAAGGTGAAATGGAGAACTTCCAAAATCACTTATCAAATTCTAAAATATTGTACAACCTCTGATCTCTAGAGCATCACACTAGTATGAATCATCTTTTGCATTAAAGAAGATAAAACAGTCCCTGAAGTATTTAACTACATGTGTAATTTAGATATTTAAAAATCCGAGGTTAACATTAATATAATAAAAGCCGTGCAAAATTTGCTATTAGCCTGGGTGCCTTACCTGACTTCCACAGTTCTTATGTTTGGTGGATTGAGTCAAAGTCAGCTCTAAATTTATACTCAAATGACAATATGCAAAGTAGCTTACAGTTAGAGCTGCTCATTTCTGGTTTAGCTTCTTCCACCCACACTGTAGCTATAAAGGCAACAAATATTGATGGATTTGAATGCATAACATATTATATGACTGTTAATATCTAATGTGCAGCATATTTATATCCTTCCAAGATATGTTGTAACATTCTAATCAAAATGCATTTACTAGATCTACTATTTTTATATAGATTTATTAAATTTATATCATTTTTATCATCAATAGCTCAATGCTGAATGTTTACTGTCTGAAAAGATTACTATATAAGAGACTTCCCCCCCCCCCAAAAAAAAGTGGGTGGAAATGTCTGTGTGTTTTATACAACGAATATTGCTGAAGCCCCGTCCACCCGCTGGCCCCCACCCTTTGGCCGTTTTTGGCCTCCACATGTTGCATTTTCAGCCTCAGTGTGTCACATTTTCAGCCTCTGCACACCCCATTTTTGGCCTCTGCACATCGCGTTTTTGGCTGGTTCCAAGTGGCAGGAATTGGCTAGCCAGATGAATACTGATGGATGCTGGTAGGCAGAAGCATAATTTTTTTTTTCTTGTTTTCCTCCCCAAAAATTAATGTGCATCTTATAGTCCAGAGCATCTTATACTTTGAAAAATACAGTAATTGAAAATGCCAGAAAAAGTTGACAGCTTTTTAGTAAGACTCAATGCCAAAAGACTATCCAATTTATCAACAGAGCTGGTAATGTAAAGAGCCTACTTTAAGTAGTCTTTGATTATGATTTATTAAAGGAATAGACTCAACTTTTAAAGTGAAAAGAAGTGAACAATATAATAAATTAATGGAAAAGAAGGC